TTTGTCGGCAGATCGGGGCAGTCTGGACGCGCCGCGTCGACAAAGAAGCCTTTCTTGATCGGCACAGGTAAACCTGGTTTCACGAGGCATACCTGTGCCAATCAAGAAAGGCTTCTTTGTTGACACGGTGCATCCAGACTGCCCCGATCTGCCGACAAACAGCTGATCGGCAGAGCAGGGCAGCCATTTAAATTTAAATGAAGCTGCGATTATTTTAATCGCGGCTTCATTTCCCTCTGCCGATCTGTCTAATCTACATGCCTCCGTCAATGGAGACATGTAGTTTAGACGTACCCTAGGTGACTTCATCAGCTCATATCCCTTGTTTGCATTACAGACATTATAGTGGCATAACTGTGAGCACTGTAACTATGTTGCCCTAAATTTTAAGTGAAGACCCCATTGTTTCAACTTGTATTTCTACGAGTCCCAAACCTATTGTCTCCGTTGCATCCACGCCTGGAGTTTGGCCTGCTACTCTGTTGATTTCGCCTACAAGTCTTTCCATTAGCAACTTAATATTTTGAAAGCTCTTTTTCTTGCCTCCACACTGCCCTCTTCATCACTTTAGAAAACACCACCATATTCCTTGTCATACCAACACAAATCCTGGGCATTGTATGTGTCTCCACAATCTCTCTCTAGATTGTGACCAAAACCTGCCATGTTTTTGTTCTGAATGTTTCTGAGATACAGTCCTTTCATTACATCCACACCAGCCAAGACTTTGAACAGGCTCTCATCACCCCCTCTCTTGATTCCTGCAGTCCCCTCTTCCTTGGCTTTCTTGACATTGTTTCCTTCCCTCAAATCCATTCTGAAAACTTCTGCTGAGATCAGCTTCCTGGTCCGTCACTTTGGCCAGGTCACCATTCCCTCTCTTCGTAACACTGGCAGACAAGGTGCAAGCAGACGCCAAGCCCCCAGGCCTCAAAAATGCTAACATATGCATAGCTGGAAACCAGTCTTGCTTACCTATATGCTAGCATTATCAAAATAAATATTAGATGTTTAATTGATAAGAATGTGTTTAATGTGTAAACTTTATAAAATGCTTGTAAGGATGCTGCATGCAATGATCTCATTTATAACCTTTATAGCTTGTGGTATAAAGTTATATACTGTTTTCATTGGCGAGTTACACGATTACAGAGGTTTACAAACAGGAAAAGGAAGTATTAATGAATGCAAAAGGCTTCTCTTGCACACAAGGTGGCTCACAGAAGGCCAGTAAAGGATCTGCCGACAAAGGGTTCTGGGGTCGGCAGATCCCCGTCTAGACTGCTGCGCTGTGCCGACAAACAGCTGATCGGCACAGCGCAGTGGCCATTTTGATTTAAATGACGTGACGATTATTTCATTTCCCTTTGTCGTCCTGCCTCATCTACATGGCTCCGTCAACAGAGCCATGTAGTCTAGACACATCCTTAGTTAATTTATTACAGGTTTGGCTACAAGGACGTCTTTGGTGTGAAATGTAAAGTACAAATTGACCTAGGCTAAGAGACTGGACTTTTGGGACTGGGACCAACCTTGAATATTTTGTGATCTTTGGTGTAAGTGACCATTTATCACTAAGTTCAGCCTGCCTGTGATGCCAGGAGTTCATATTTGTTACTGGATTGGTGAAATCTAATTATAGAATGTTCCACCAGTTTGGGGGGGTCTGCCCTGCTTTTCGGGCAGTCTGCCTTGAAATTGGCACTTGAGGTTTTGAACTAGACAGTGTGACACTGTTCTTTGAATTCCACTAGTAGCTCTCCCTTCTCCATCAAATCAAACACAGGTTTCTGTTTTTTGCCTTTACAGTCATTCACAGATTAGCGCCTCCCTGCTTATCTGCTCAAGTACTTTATTTTTACCAGATTATATTGTCTTTTTTGAATCCACTTCTGTAAACTTGGGGCATACTGTAGTAATGTACAGAAATCTGTTGTGTGAAAAATCCTTTTAGTCACTCTTTCTTTGCTCATATAAACAAAGACTGTAACTGGTATGTCATCAGGCATTCTTTAGTTTTAGGGAGATGCTTTTATCTGCAGTTTTCCAGGCTCTGTGGCATTTTTTAAAGATATGTAGTTAGACATTGTTACTAGTCCAAGTAAATCATGTACTGCTCTGATTCTTGTTTCAATTTTTTTCAATATTTGCTGTAGTAGCAATTCCATCCAGCACTTTAATTATTCCAGATGACTCAGAATGTGCTGGTCTCAGCTCATTTGGTTTTGACAGAGCTGAATCAAAATGCTCCAACCAAATAAAATAGTAATCACCATGGAAACATATCAGCCGATTGCATTTGTGTGTTGGACTAATCCCTTATGTTTTGATGCCACAAAGCTCGTAGCTACAAAGAAAAGGATGTGGTAAGAGTAGATGTTACAGAAAAATATAAAATTACCAAAATTCTATTCCCTATTAACGTGACTAAATGTTTTTTCTACTGTAGCTCTAAAAGGAAGGTCCTATATCTCAGATACTGTGATTTGTTCATTATTAGTAAATGCTGACTTTTTAATAGTGACCATTCTGCTTTCAAGACATTCACAGAAATGGTCCTGATAAGCAATGCTATAAATATATTTTACATTTCTTCTGTACAATCATACATAGGGTATATACCCCTCATGAACAATAAACCAACTGCTTTTAAATCTTACTATAAAATGACAAGATACCATAACTAAGGGGTTCTCAACCTGGGCATCACCACTTGTTGTGGGATCGTGACCTCCCAGCACCTTGTATTTTACTTCCGTGGCTATAGATTCTTGCTAGATAGAAAAGTGATCTGAGAATGGTAAAGGGGGTTAAAATATGGGAAGGGGTGAGAAGTACTGCCATACTTGTATGCTGAGAATTAGTTACCCATGCTGGTATTTAACATGCCCAGAAAATGCTCCAATATTCAGTGAGATCAGAAAGATCTTTTATTGGGGGAAGTTAGGGATGAGGTGTGGGTGAAGGGTAGGATAAAACTGGTAATTCAAAAAGCATTTTTCTTACATCTTTCCATAATACCTTCAAAGAACCTGCCAAGAAAGGAACGAGTGTGTTGATTTAAATTCAAAGTGAAATGAATCTACTTGTTACTGTCTCTGTAGAGTCTTAAAATTAATAGATTTTCATTGGTTAAATTTTTAAAAAACACGATTCATAAATGTGTTATCCTCTGGTCGACATGTCTGGAATGAAGATTATTATTTTTCAGGTGGCAAATACTTGTTTTAATTAAAGTTGTTACATATTTCCTTTGAATTGGAGGTAATCATGAAAGATGATTGCAACCTTTTCCATACTATAATCCTTATGTTACAACAAAAGACTCCTTCCTCCCCCACAACATAGCTAGGAAGAAAACCCTAAAACTTGGTTGTGAGACTTCCCAGGATTCCAAACTCATTACTTAAGGTAGGTAGCAGGGTCCAGCCAGGATTTGAGTGTTTTTCGAAGGCAGACAGGTGGTATTATCTCCATTTCACAGCTGGGATAGCTGAGGAACAGACATGTTTAAGTAACCTTTGGTGGTTCAGAGGTTGAGTTAGATATAGAGAATCATCTACCAATTCAGAGGTTCATTCAAACTATCCATTTTGCTTGAGTCTGAAAAACTAGACTGGGAAATGAGACCAGCCTTTTTCTTAGGATTTCCAGTCCTGACTGGAACAGCCATTGTCTCTGTTGTTGATTACTTTCTGTTTCGGTACTGAATGGGATCAACAAATGAAAAAATGTCTCTGAATTTTCCTCACTTTAAAAAAGTGCTGTTCTAAACATAGGTGGCATTTTACTGGGGAACAGTTTTTATGTGTAACCCATCTTGCCCATCACTGCTCTGGGTTTAGAATTATGATTTAATACTGCATGGCTAGTTAAGTAGGTGTCAGTTATTACATAATAATTAACTACCAGTTGAAGCTGATGTTTAGTATCCTTGCTATTTTATTAGTCATCTTTTTTAATATGCTAAACAGGATTAATCTACCCTATGAGCCAATGGTGTCTGGTTTTCAGTGTTGCTAAGGGTAACCCTTGCCTAGAAGCAGCTCTCGGCATGTCCGAATTGATGTTTGAATTACTCGCTGTTTTATAGAAGTATGTAACTGTGTTGAAGAGAGGCTGAATTAGACAAGACAAAAAAAAAAAAAACCACAGATTTAATCCTGGCCCAGTGTTGTACATCTGTTAATATTTTTAGTATTCCCATGCAGCACAGCAGGTACTGCATGTAAATGTATGGGCTCTGACCATGCACGTGTGGTGGAGCTCAAGATATACATGCAGCATTGGGGAGCTACTGTGCTGTGTCAGAAGATGAGTGATTCTTCTTAGTTATCTCATGTACAGGTTACCAGGAAACCAATCTGTAGAATACAGTGTAATTTTGTGATTAATAAGATCTGGCTTTGCTCACATTTTAATTAAAAAAAATTATGGAAGAGGAGGAAAATTGTAACACTCAGAGTAACAGCTTTCCATAGTTTGAGTAGATTAGGAGCTCAAAGGAAAAGGGTTATCTGGCCAACATCAAGAATAGTCTCTTCCTGAATTTGGAAGATATTACATTATCTCAGGACTGTGACCTTTACTGCATTTTTTGGTTTTGTGTTTTCCTTTTGACTAGAATTATACCTGATACCATTAGCAGACTATTACATCCAAAAGAGCCAGTTGCAACAGGCACCTAATTACATTGCAACTGTGGGTTTCTGTTTGATCACACGAACTCAAAAAAGCATTCTGGCACACAAAAGCACATCATGGATGGAACATGCACCACTGCTCAGAGTAAAAGAGTTTTTCCTTTTGCACTAACCATTTACTGACCAAGATTTCTGTGAAGTGATTTGAGGCACTGTATTAACACTTTAATCTTGATTTGGGATAGAAAAAATGAGTTAAAAAGTATATAACAATAGAAAATAATGAAAACAGTTTTGGTTTTTTACCTTGGTTTGTGACAAATATTCTCACTGAAACTTTTATTCCTTCTCTTCTAGGTGGTTCCTGTTTCTCCTGGGGATGGAATGAACATGGGATGTGTGGTGATGGCACAGAAGAAAATGTTTATGCCCCAAAGCCAATCACAGCTCTTGGTTCTGCAAAACCATTCTTAATTGGGTGTGGGGCAGGTCACTCTATGGTTCTATATCAGACTCCAGGTTAGACCTTACACACTGGAAAGCATAGCCATGTGGATTTGGACATCTGTGTATAGGGCTTTTCAGAAGTGTTGTGAGAGAATTAAAACTGGCATACCAGCCTAATGGTACAGAAGAAAATAAGGGTAAAAATTTCTTTTGTTCTAACCCAGACTTTAAAAAAAAAAAAGAGCTAATGTGCTGAGAAATCTGTTTAATAAAGATAAATATATTATTGGAAATTATTTCATGGGTTACTTTCATAGGCGATGACGTTGTCCGTGAGTAAAACGAATAAACGTTTTTCTGTGACATAAATGAAACAAAATTTTTTTCTCCAACATTTATGGTTACAAATACAAAGTTCTTTTGGACAGTTTTAGCCGTTGACAACAGATTTATGGCTTTTGCAGAAAAAGTATTGTGCTCTGATGTCAGGGTGAGTTTCGGTGGTGTCCGAAGAAGTAATGTGAGGCTATGAGCACACATGGGGATTGTTTTGTTGTTTTTTAGGTGGCAAGGAGCACTTTCAACTTCCATTGACTGTTATTGGAATTGTGGATGCCTGCCTATGACTTTGGAAATCAAGCTGTACTGCTTGAATTTTTGAAGCAGAATTTTTGAAGCTGAATTTTTGAATATGTTATTAAAGAAAGCCTTGGTTCCAAGCGTGAGGTAGGTCTAAGTTAGAAAGCTGTTGGAAAAAAGAAGGGAGAGTGCTCTGATCCGAACACTTGACTACATCTATAACTTTATTATAATAGTGTGGTTATAATTGAATTGCCTTCTTCAGTAGAAACCCCAGTTATTTTGAATTTATAATACAGTAGTGCTTAGCCACCCAGTTCCTACAGATGAACCGTCCCCTGAAGCTCAAACTAAGGCTGAACTATTTGAGGTTGGCAAAATCTGGCAATGTTCTTTGGTTTTTTAATGTCAAAGCCCCTCCATCTTTCCTGTGGGTCAGTAAGCATGAGATCCAGGCCACAGCCTTGGAAACTAGGGATCTTAGATACTGTGTAATTGAATAGTCATGTGATCGCATGAACTCTTAGTGGTTACACAACTATTCAATAGTTAACATGGCCAGGGTTGGCAGCCAGTGCACTCCTGTCCCAGCTGCCGTCTCCACTCCCAAGATGTCCCCTGCTATCCCGTCCTCCTGCCCCTCAATCAGAGGCAGCAGCATGAGTGGCAGGCAGGCAGGACCCATTTGTCAGGGGAGCCAGTTTTAAAACCAGTTCCCCATGCAGACCGGCTGCCTGCATCCCCACCCTGCTACCTCTAATACAGAGGCAGCAGTGTTGGGGGGCAGCAGTTCCTGTCCATGGGGGGCTCCGAGCTCCCCATGGCCAGAGGCTGATCCACAGCAGCAGCCCCTGTCTGTGGAGAGCTTAGACTCCCTGTGAACAGGGACTGCTGCCACGGACCAGCATCTGTCCTCAGCAGGCCAAGGCTTGCCATGGACAGAGGCTGCTCTGTGGTAGGTGGAGCAGCCTCTGTCTGCAGGGCGCTTGGTCCCCCCATGAACAGGGGCTGCTGCCGCTGTCCATAGTGAGCCTGAGCTGCTATGGACAGAGGTAGTTTCATGGCAGCTTCCCTTATCTCCCCTTCCCCCCCTCCCCCCGATAGAGGCAGCAGCGATAGGGAGGGGCACAGGCAGCACCGTGGAGCTGGTGCTGGGGGGAACTGGCTTTTAAGGTGGTTCCCCCCAGCATCAGCTCCTGCCTGCCCCACCTTGCTGCTTCTGTAGGAGTCAGTGGGCGGGGGGCAGGCAGGTCCACACAGCCAGCATGTGTGGGGAGCCTGCTTGAGAGCTAGCTCCCCATGTGTGTGGGTTCTAGCCTGCCCCCCTTACCCTCTGTGCTGTTGCCTCTCTATTACAGGCAGCAGCGCCGGGGTGGAGGAGGCAGGTGGATCTGGTGCTCCTGGGGAGCCTGCTTAAAGCCAGCTCCTCTTGGGCACCAGCTCCCACTCTCCTCCCCTCCTCCCCCCACCCCCCTGCTGCCTCTGATACAGAGGCAGGGGGGGGGGGGATGTAGTTGACAGGATTAACAGATAAGCCTAGGTTTATCGGTTAATCGTGTAATCAACTACACGTTGACATCCCTTTCGGAAGCTATACTCTCAGTAGTTTCCATTAGGTTTTGGAAGGGATCCTGTTTCAGGGTACAAACCAACCTCTTCTTAATAGGGCTAAGAAGAAACTCTCAAGGGGAAAAGTTATCCACGTATAACTGCTTGCTGGAGGTTTTGCAGCATCTTCCTTTTAAGCAGCTGGGTGCTGGCCACTGTCAGACAGAGTCCTGGATTTGTTGGACCACTGGTCCAATGCAGCTTAGCAACTTCTATGTTTGCAATGCTCCTGAAAACAGGGAGTTCTCTTGTGAAATTTTGAGAGAGCTGATGAAATTTTCAGTCTAAGACGCACAACAAAATAGATCCTGGTTAAATATAGCTTAGCTGTGAATATGCTTCCTAGTTCAACTAAATCTCTGATCCCTTGAAAGTTTAGAACTTGACCAAAGCAACTTGTTCTAGGCTAGTGCTTGATATGCAAAGTTTATGCCTAGTAATGATTTTCATGGGGTGAAGTGGAGGAGAAAGAATTTCGTTTTAAAAACCTCCAGCTGTTTGTGTTGAGCAGAATTGAAAAAGCTAATTTATTGAACTCTTTTGCACTTAAATACAGCTAGGAATATTAAATTGGATGTTTACCTCCCACAGTAGTTAAATTTACTGTGGTATTTGAGGTATTTCACATTCTAAGTATAGGGAATACCACTGTGTGGTAAGTATTCATTGTAAACGATGCCCACTGTTTCATTTTTAAAAGCAAGTTTACCAGGGAATGAGGTTATCGGTCTAATTGCCTTATTGAACCAGAAAACATATTTTAAATAGATTATTAGGAAATTGCACAGGAAAACATTCTACTGATAGATCAGTTCAGTCCAGTCATGAAAGAACTGACAATATGTATGGACTGTCCTTGTAATGGGAAACTTTTCAACCAAGTGGTTCTAATTGAATTGCCTTCTTCAGTAGAAACAAGAGAAGCTCCAAAAAGAGGACACATATTTACAAATTTTGGTCACCATGTTTAATGTACTACTGGAGGAGGGCTCCGCAGCCAGCAAGTTCCAGTCTTGACCCAGATGTTTTGAATATTAACATAATCCGGAATCTTTAAATTATGTTGTAGTATGCTAATATTTTATTGTAGCTTTGTCTTAATGAAAAGTTTCTTTAAAAAATAGTAGCCAGAGTTCAGGTATTAGTTTTCAGATATTTTTGGGGAATGGGTTTTTTTTTGTTTTGTTTTTGTCTTTTTGCATTTTCATAATCTAGCTGTTTATTTTAGAAATGTGCATCTGTCTGTTTGTCTGTGAATCAGTTTTTTCAAGAACACCTCCTAAATAATAAGAGCTAGGACAAGCACATTTGGTGGGCCGCAGCTTCTTTTCCTAACTTAAAGCAAGGTCAGGGTTTGGTGGTGCCAAGAAAATGGGATCTGTTTTGGGATTGTTTTCCATAACATAGAAAGGGAGGGGGCTGATCAGAGGGATATTGATACTGCAGAGTGACCACGGAGAGCAGCCGCACCACCAAGAGAGTGGCCAGCTGGGGCTAGGGCTTGCCATGTTTTTCACCACTGGATCGGATAAGTGACCCTCCTGCCTCACGCTCCTTCCCCCCTCCCATGGCCATAGCACCAGAGTCTGAGGGGGCAGAGCCTTCTGAACTGGGAGATGGCAAGGAGGGAGAAAAGCCCCACCAGGCTTGGAGAGGGAAGGGAGAAATATGCATGACTGGAATATTGGTATAGAAGGGTACAACTTGCTCATGAAGGACAGGCAGGGGAGAAATAGGAGGAGGTGTATTAAAAATGTGTACACTGGGCCTGACGTTGAGATAAGAGACACTAGTTGAAAGTCTCTGAGTTCAGATAAAAGAGGTGAAAAAACCAACAGTGATGTCATGGTAGGGGGTCTACTGAAGACCACCTAAATAGGAAGAATAGATGGATGAGGTGGTTGTGGTCTTTTAAAACAACTAACCAAAGCACAGGACTTGATGGCGATGGGGGACTTAAATCTGTTGGGAAAATACTATAGCAGGACACAGATTTTCCATCAAGTTCTTGAAATACATAGGAAACTTTTTTTTTATAAAGAAAACTTACAGGGGAGAGGCTGGAAAACAGCATAATAAAGGTAAGGAATTTCAAGAAGGCAGACTTGAGCAAACGCAGGGAGTTGGCAGGTAAGATCTCACAGGAAGGCAGTCTAAAGGAAAAAAAGTTCAAGAGAGTTAGCAATTTTCCAAAGGGACATTATTAAGGGCAAAAGAACAAGCCATCTCACTGAACAGGAAAAATAGGAAGTATGACAAGAGACCACTCTAGCTTCAGTAGGAGATATTCAATGATCTGTAGAGCTCTGCAAATCCACGGGTATCCACAGTTCATTTGTGCAGATATGGATACAGATGCAGAAATAAATTTTCTATGTAGAACCCTTCTATTTTGAAGATATCTGCTTTGTATCCAAGGGTATCTGCATCTGCAGATGTTATTGCAGATATTTGCAGCTCTTTTTTGCAGATACAGATGTGAATGTGGATACCACTTTTTTATCCGCGCAGGATTCTAATGATCTGAAACTCAGAGTTCTACAAAAAGTGGAAACTAGATCAAATTACAAAAGATGAATATAAAAACAAATGCCACAAGTATGTAGGAACAAAATTAGCAAGAAGACATTCTACAAATGCATTAGAAGCAAGAGGAAGATCAAGAACAGGGGGTGCCCATTACTCAGTGTTGGGGAGGGGAGATAACACAAAAATGCATAAATGGAAGAAGTGCTAAATGAATTTTTTGTTTTTGTTTTCACCACAAAGGTGATTGCACATCTAACATAGTGAATGCCAGTGAAAATGAGATATAATCAGAGTCTACAAATGGGAAATAAGTTAATAAATCACTTAGGCAAGTTAGTTATCTTCAAGTCACCTGACCTCATGAAATAAATCATTAAAAAAATGGTTATATTTGTAACTATTGTTCTTTGAGATGTGTTGCTCATATCTATTCTAACTGAGGTGTGTGCGCGCAGCATGCATGGCTGCCAGAAAGTTTTTACCCCAGCTGTTCCCAATTGGGTCAGCTGTGAAGCCCTCTGGTGGTGTGACCCTGCCAACGCAACAGCCCCTCAGTTTCTTCTTGCCGGCTACTCCAACAATGGGGAAGGAGGGTGCTTATGAAATAGACGTGAGTAACACGGTTGCAAAGGTGAATAACCATTTTTTCTTCTTTGAGTGCTTGCTCATATGTATTGGGGGGGGGGGGGGATGCCAAAGTCAGTGCTGACTCGTGTACTGTGGCCTCAAAGGCCACATCACATCTGGATTGCTGCATAATAGTGTAGTGTGATGTGACGGTATGGACCGAGGACCACATCACAGCTCTGCAGGTTTCCTTGAGGGGAACATTGGCCAAAAAAGCAGCTGAGGAGACCTGCGCCTGTGTGGACGTAACTTACAGACCTTTGTTCAGTCAGCCAGTGCCACCAATAGCACTGAGGAATTTTGAAAGGGCTTAGTCGTATCAATGTAAAATGTAAGAGCTCGTCT